ACATATATATATATATATATATATATATATATATATATATATATATATACTTGTGTAAGGAAATGCACTCGGATTTCTCTATTAATTGTTCGTTCTGACAAGTCTCAAAGTCATGTGGAACAAACGCCCGCGCGGAATCTTCCTCTTCAAGTCTATTGACGTTATACAGACCGCGAGCAGGCATAGAATGTACATTGGTCCATCAAGCGTAACGATATTTTTCGCGAAAAAGATTTCAGTTCCCGTGCTACTGTGTATATATACATATATGAGGCCAATCTATTAGACACAAGCTTCACGAGTACTTGGAACTTGGAATGAATTTTACAGTAATTTACATACATACATACATATTTAAAATTCTTACAAGATATACGTAAGCGGCATTTTAATTGACATGTTTTTGTTATAATCACGATTGCGACTGTTGTTATATGGACATTTCTTGCTTTTGTGCATAATCGCGTGATAATAGTAGATCTCACTTGATCACTATGCTGTAAAACTCGAACACCCCATACTGAATTGTACAACTTCGAAATAAATATAACTATATATCTACAGGAGGTATGTATCGCTTTGATCTTCTGTTCGCACAGAATAGAGATCGCGGCAATTTTCGTCGCGTTCATGTTTCTCGCCGAGCACGAATTGCCGTGGCGAACGTGCCCCAAATTGTTAAACAGCTGCGTGTGCGACCTAAAGAGAAACCTGTCAAGCATCGTGACGCGTTTATAACACAATGACTATACTTTTTATTTAAAATTACTTCTTTACGAGGTACATTTATATACATAAAAAATTTATGACTATTACATTAAGCTTATGCAATATAGACAGTATATTCGTGCATATGTAATAACGTAACAGTAGAGCTCTGTTTAATTCACATTTATATTCGGCGTTCGGACAGAACTTAGTCATTTACATCTAATTTGTATCAACTTGCCATGCTGGATGTGATACCGGAATGTCATAAGTTTTTCTCTCTCTCTCTCTCTCTCTCTCTCTCACGCTCTGAACGAAATTCGCGCGTTGAAACGTCGATCTCGCCGATTCGACGCCCTGGCAAAATGCGAGAGTCCACGAGACGACGCACATCCCTCGCAGTCAGGCTATTTCCTCGTATTTGTTATCTCGAGTTAATTGATCAGGCAATCGGGTTTAGCGCTAAATACTGAAAGAAGAACCTTTCAAAGGTTCGCAATCGGAATTCCATGCTCGTCAGGGCTGGACCTGCTCGTTTGATTCTCCTAGACTGTTTTCTCACGAGAGACAAACGACGGTCGTTCGGACGACTTCGTATTTAGCGTCAAATACGGAATCGCGGGCGCGGATCTGTGAGTCTCTCGAACGCCTCGCTTCGTCCGGGTATCGACGAGCGCGCGCGGCGGTAGATTCGACGACAAGATGAAGCGAACGAGGGTAGGGGCAGGAATCGCGAGAATGAAGAACCTCTTTTGAATCAGAATGAAGTTTGTAGGCCCGCGACGAGAGAGAATCGTCCTCTCTTGTTATCTCTTGCTTTCGAAACGACAGTCGCACAATTTTAAAGAAGAGAAAGAACAGAAAACCCACCCACCCACCCACCACCGTTTCCTCACGACGCGACGTACGCGCGTGGTTAATTTCCGCTCTTAAATTATTGTAACATGCGAATACGCTCTTTCTTTCTCTCTCTCTCTCTCTCTTTCTGCGTCTAAAGTTACCTCCGATAACAACAATACGACAGAATCATTTAACATCTTGAGTCAATGACAGACTGGTGTGTTTTTAACGAATTCTTTCTTCCTTCCTCTCTTTTTTTCTTTCTTTCCTTATCTCTCGCTAATTAGCTTACTGTATACACACATAGGCTGGGCTCGTATTTATACTTAATATACATCGAGTCGATCTTTACACGCAGCGTTTCCTCGGTGATTTTTTTTTTTTATATCGGGACAACATTTAACAGACACTTGAGATTCTTGCGATACACGGATATATAATGTATATAGATCGATACTTTAATATATAGAATTATAGATATACTTTTTATGTATATATATATATTTCCTGCATGACAAACTTCACACACATACACACACACACATACATATATTCATGTATATATATGTATATATATGTGTGCGCGTATATATACATATCATATGTGCATCCTTGTAATTCGCGTTTATCAATAGATTTTTCCTCTTATATTCATCTTTGTTTCATTTATCATTTTCTTTTCTCCGTAAAATGCATGACACAAAAATAAATGCTTGTATCTGTGAATAATTATATTTATCTTTTCTCTATCTACTTTTTCCTTTCGCTCCCTCCCTTTCTCTCTCTCTCTCACATGCACATTTTCGCGACGTATACTCCTTAATTAACCGTAAACGTTAGCTTGTTCTTTTTACAAAATATCACAAAAATCACACCAGCCTTTGTTCGCAGCAAAAAACCAAGTAGTTGTTAAATCTCGTGAGAGAACGCCACCGCCGCGCGGCAACGTTCCGCGACTCGCCCCCTCGCGCATTCGAAAACATCAACAACAAATACTCGCGCGGTATCGATGCGAGCCCACGTGGCTTAACGTGCGAAACGTGCGGGCTAACGATGGAGGCGTGCGCCATCGGTAATTTCCAAAAATTAAAAAAAAATAAAATAAAAAATTGCCGATTACCGAACGGCATTATCAATTTTTCGCCAAGTTTCGCATACGATTGATATTGCACAAAACACTTGTACACCGAGTTCCGAAACACTCATTGGAAAAGTGAAAACACGCGACGATCTCTACGGATCTAAATTTACTTTGTATCAAAACGCGAGTTCAAGCCATGTTCCACACAATTAAAATCCACCACGTGCACGATGATAAAATTTCGATTCAAATCGTCTGAAGCGAATCGATTTCGCGGTAACAGGACTGTCACTGTCGGATGCGATCCGATCAGCTAAGAAATCGGTAGTCTCTCGAGAATCACGACACACTTCGGCATCTCGACGCACACGCAGTGTCCCGTCTCACGTTTCGACGTGCATGTGGCTCGCGTCGCGCGCACACACACATGCTCGCATACTCGCGCAGCATACGAGACATCATAACATCGTCTTAGCATCTAGACATCGACATTTTTCTCTCGTTTTACGTATCACGAATACGTCGCCCCTCGACTTTCTCGAGAAGTAATCAAAAGACAGCTGTCGCACACGGAGAGCTTTCTTTCTCTCCCTCTCTCTCTCTCTCTCTCTCTGTCCCTCTCTCCCGCACGGCGACGGGGAGAGTAGAAGCAGCTCACACACAACTCCGAATGCACGGAGGAACAGGGAAAGCGAATCGGACGACGAGACAATTAAGCGCTAGTGACCAGCACCACGATGCGCGCGCGCGCGCGCTCGTCTCCACCGAGGGTGGATCGGCGCGCGGGAGGCGGAGAAAACACATCTATAACTCATCTACTGTCTTTTATAAATATACGTTTGTCCAATTGTTCTTACTTGCACGCACTCTCCCAGCGAGGCCTTGCTTGCTTACTTACTTTAGACCTGTTCTTTTTAAGTGCTCTAACGCTGCGCCAGAACGTTGTTCCTTCCGCCCTTCGAGGATCGATCATCTTCTTTTTTGCGTTTATCAGCGCGTAGGCGACCTGTCTTACATGCCTTGTGGTGCGCACGCTGATTGAAACACAGCCATATGGGACCCACAGTTCAACGCCGATTCGAACGGCAGAGTTGATGTTGTTATTGATTTTCTTTTTTTTTCGATCATACTCGCTCGAAAGGAAGAAGGTACAACTTAGTTCAGCTAAAAAGGACAGACCTGTCGCTTCATTGTGTACATGCGTGCGTGGTTTCTCGCAAATCTCTCGAAAACATCTTTTTCTCTTCTAATTCGCGCGGCCCGAAAGCTCGTCCCGAAAAATCGTCGCGTTCGTTTGTGGGATCAGTTATACGTTGACGCGTTTACCGACGTATTCATTATGCACGCGACGATCTCTTCAACCGGTACTCTCAACGGGACACAGCAATTGCTACTCGGAACAGTCGCTCGCAACGCGTCTCTCGCGGTTGGATTTTTATTCTACGGCGTGTCCCCGGTTACGACACAGATAGGCGCGATACAAAAGAAGAATCTCTATCTCGTTTTGGATACGCGCAACACTGACGCGTTTTAACGACAGCCTTTTCACCAAGCTCCCTGTATTAGTCTCCCTGAACGTGTTTCGATAAAATACGCGAGTCGTTGAAGTGTTTCAACAAGCGGACGCTCATGATCGCGATGAGCACTTTAAAAATATACACGGAGTTATCACGAGCGATTAATTAATTAATTCTTCCTGCGAATTATCCAAGGCAACACGATGCATCAGACTTGTTTTGTGTGCAGCTTCGAGAAGTGGGTTCAACACATCATCTCTCGCTAATTTACGTCAGTGAAATGTCAACAAGCTGCTCGCGAATGTGTGTTCGTGACGTTATTATTTTTCTTCCTTTCGTTTCGAAGGCAACGCGCTCGCGCGTTATTCGCGATTTCCATTTTCTCCCCACAGAGAGTTATTATCACCAAAGCAACGGCACGCTTGATCCGCACAAATTCTTTTTCTCCTCCGTAAAGGATCAAGCGCGGACAAAAGTTACAAAATGCTCGCTCGTTCCAGTTTTCGCTCGACGTCGAGCTGTCAAAATCATTCGTTGTTCGTCGATAAGACACTGGTATCGAAAAGATTTACCAAGCGGAGTCCAATTGGTCGGGCAAAAGTAGCTTTCTTGCGCGCTCGAGTTTCTCTCCTCGACAATGTCAACAGAGCGATTTGTTATGAAAAAATACCGTACAAATCTTGCGCGATCGATATCAAAAAATAGGGAAAAAAGAAGAGAGAAAGAAATTCACTGAATGACAAATTCTTGTCATCTCACTAGTCACTCGTGATCACCAACTGCACAACAATCTCCCCGCGTTCCGAACGCGCAAGAACAATAGAAACGTTTGCAAGGCTCACAAACAACTTTACAATATTCACCTCTATCATAAAAATAAAAGTAAGAGAAGTCGGTGAGTCGTCGCGACTTGCGTCGTAGTCGGACTGTCCCCGAAATCTTTACAGATCACGTCTTCCTTGTTACTCGGCCGTTGTTTATTCAACTACCGTCTTTAGAAAAAAAAAAAAAAAGAAATAACTGTGTGTAAATCGTAAAACCCGGACCGTGCAGAAATCTTGCCCACACCGTCCGCTCTATGTTCACCCACAAAGCGGCGAGCATTCGTGGGACTTTCGTGTAACTGCGAGCCGGCCAGCAGCCGTGCGCGACGACGGATCCGGCCCTCGACATATCACTGAGAAATGCACCTCTTAGAGAGAGATCCCAAAGAGCATTTGCACAGTTCCGCGATACAATTAATTACGCTTTCTACATCTAGCAGAATGATTAACGCGCGTCTCATTTGGCCTCGTCCTGCTCCATCGGCTCCTCGGACACCTCTCGGGAATGTTCTGGCGTGGTCCTGCAAAATTCATCAATTGCCGCATGAATAAATATAAGGAGAAATTCTCTCTATTCTTACAAAATATAACGAGAGTAGACTTGATACTAACGTAAGATTCGTAGGCTGCTGCATCGACAGAGAGGCCATGGCGGACACCGTTTCCGTCTCATCGTGTTCCTTCTGGCTCGCCTCTATCGCGCTCATGCCCACTGTGTGAGCGGCGAGCTTCACGCAAGGCCAATGTGACATCTGCGAAATGACAGTGACTGTTAATTGAGTGTTGACGCTAAAGTTAAGTTTGAGTCACGACTTGACGTGTTTAGATCGACAATGTTGCAGCAACAACAGTATATTTGTGATATCAACTCGCTTGTCCAGATATAGATACGTTATCTATAAAGATTACTCTGCAGATTAAAAAAAAAAAGAAAACACTTCTTCTTATCTGACATAGTTTACTTTGCAAAAATGTTTGTGCAAGGAGAAATAATTTTCAATTACAACAAGCTCGACTTTAAAATCGTATTTCTGGATGGTAAAGATTGGACATTAGTTCAGCATTGAGATTGTGATGTCTGCGCGGTTGTCGTTGTCGGTAGCTTACCTGAATGGCGATGGTCTTCTGCAACGTGTCGATGGCGTTCTGACAGGGGATCTTGGTGAGTTCGTCGTCCCGCAGCGGGCTGGGCTCATCGCCGAGCAGAGCGCGGACGCACTCTTGCGCGGAATCGCAGATCGCCGCCAAGTCATAACCACCCTCCAGCGCGAGGATGACTTTGCCGTCGGCCAGATTAAGTAACTGCTGCGTCATCCTGCCGAAGCACGCCGGGCTGACCTTGTAGCCGCCCAACGGCGCCGGATGACCCACGGCCGCGTCGAAGCCGGCCGAGACGATCACGATGTCCGGGTCGAACTCCTTGGCGATCGGCATGACGATCGTGCGGAACGCCGCGAGATATTCGGCGTCGCCCATGGGCGGATTCAGGCCGCCGGACCACGCCACATTCACATTGTACCCGAGACCCTCGCCGGCGCCACATTCGGTGGGCCCGCCGGTGCCGGGGAAGAAGTTGCCGTCGTCGTGTCTGTGTATCGAGAGGTACAGGACCCGCGGATCGTCGTAGAACATCTGCTGGGTGCCGTTCCCGTGATGGACGTCCTGCGGAAAAGGAAGACACAAATCGTGTTAGCGTTCAGAGAAAGAGGGAGGGAAGGACAGGAACGGAGAAAGAAAGAGCGCACGCCCGGAGGTATTTATAATCGTAGCCCGATCTTGGCCACGGGTCTCGCGAGGATCCGTTACGTTGCGTTGTTTATATTTGCGGTGTGTAGGGACGTCTAAAATTGAAATCACACGAAGCAGAGCGTGTCGGTGCATATATTGTCTCACGTCTCCGTCGACGCCTGTAGTTTCGCGCAAAATCGTGTCACGTGTGTCGGTCATGATCGACGGTTCTCTCTCTCTCTCTCTCTCTCTCTCTCTCTTTTACTCACCCAATCCAAGATTAAAATTTTTCTAATGTCGAGTTTCTGCTGAAGTAGCCTCGCCGCGATCGCCACGGAGTTGAAGAAGCAAAAGCCCATCGCCTGGTTGGTCTCTGCGTGATGCCCAGGCGGTCTCACGACGGCAAAGCCGTTCTTAATATCGCCCATCGCCGCCTTGAACGCAAGGTCGACGACACAACCCACCGCCATCCTGGCGGCGGGTGCCGTGTTAAGCTCATTCCACGTGGTATCGGAATCAACGCCGACTCCGCCGCAGGGGAGTCGGACGAAGCTCTTGATAGGCAATTGCGACAGCTTCGACATGTCCAGCTTCTGTCGATTCAGTGGATTCGTTCCTGTCGCGACAAGCAACAGAGAATTCGATATCAGCAATCGATATTCATATATCTCGTTCAGTTAATTAGTGCGGCTGGATTGAAATAATATTGAATCAAGGAAAATTATAAATTCCCGGTAATTTTGCAGGAGTCTAATAATTCCCAATTGCTAACTTTCGATTTGCTTCTCTACATATTTAACTCTACAGTGGCTTGCGAATATGGAAGAGAACGTGGCTGCGTCTCTCTCTCTCTCTCTCTCTCTCTCTCTCTCTCT